ACTTTGTTTTTTCATTATTTAATAGTGTATCTTAGCAGCTTCCGATGGCACCAAACAGGCCCCATTGTGTCAAGTGCTTTGCAAACAACTGGCAAGACAGTGTTTGATTTTTCCTGTCCCCAGTTTCACAACACTGTAATGCCCTGCCCTGAAGAGCTTACAATCTAATGTAATGTTAATTTTTGGAAAGCTAACATTCCAATAACACATTGTTCTCCAGGGAGAATGCTTTCAAAGCCTTAAGGCTTTTGACTGGGTATATACTTTTGAGAGTGTTTTGTAGGCTAGACGCAACTATGCGTGGCGTTGTTGGGAGCTTATCTGTAGAGCAAAGGTTAAGAGAATTGGAAAATTCCTAGCAGAATTAGAAAAGGCAAGTACAGCTGCTGTAGATAGCTGAAAACAGAATGGTCATCCCCGTACCACAAATACCGGTTCATGTTTCTGTCTACACAATACTCTTGATTTTACTTTATGAACAGTAGTTTGCATCTCAGCCACCCGATAGGAAGAATTTTTAACATAATTTAGAAGTGCCGTGGTCGGTAAATCATATAAATGTAGAAGAAAATAAGGTTAATCATAGTAAAGGATAGTGTTTATAGTGGTAGCAACAAAAGGCCTTTGAAGATTATTGAAAGCAGAGCCATTTGATGATGGTAAAAGCAGTTTGTTTATATTGTACGCTACATTTCTATACGGTATAGTAAGTAATCCAGCAAGACAATATCCAGTTACACGGCAAGACAGTATCCAAAGGACAGTACTCAGATGTCTTCATGAGTTATGGCTGGAAACAAAATGCTGAAATGAAGAATTAGGGAATACTCTGTTCATAAGTAAACTGGGTATTCAAGGGCATTTCAAGGTATAAATTGAAATAAGCATTAACACTGACCTTTGTGTCGATAGAGGTTTGGTCAGGACTATATTGGCACTTAGACGTTTTTAATGGCATTTCATGGATAAAATTTCTCTATCGTTCTGTACAAATTGATTTTAGTGTCATCGAACTGGAAAAGCAGCTCAGTAATTGATGAGAACCAAGAAATTGCAACTCTCTTTGTGACCATGTAAGCCATCTCCCGTGCTTTTAATGCACAATATTAATACAGCTACTGAATCTCATTTCAAAATGAGTACTATTTCAGGACTTGGACTACAAGCTCATCACCAGACCTTCCCTGGTAAGGGATTGTCCTGAAGACAGGACAAGAAGTGATGGGCTTAATCTGCAGCAAAGGGAGATTTACACTAGCTATTACACTTCCCACTCTAAGGATAGTTAAGCTCTGGAACAGGATTCCAAGGGAGGTTGTGGAATCACATCATTGGAGGTTTTTAAGAACAGGCTGAACAAACATTCATCAGGGATGGTCTAGGTTTACGTGGTCCTTCCTCAGCACAGGGGGCTGGACATCTAGACCTCCTGAGGTCCCTTCCAGCCCTACATTTCTATGATTCTCTGTTGCTGCAGAACGTTTAGCTTCCGTCAAATGGACATTTTCTGACAGAAAAGTGTTCCGTCCGAACATTTTTGACCAGCACTAATGTGAATACAGTCTTGTGGTTGAGATGTTACACACACATATTAGGAAATGTGAAATTACAGTGTATACATGTATACTTATAGGAATCATCATAACTTGACCAAAGTGCCATTTTATGTCATAATAGAAGATTTAAAAACTAGTGCCTATGCGCAGGGCTGTGAGTTATGGTTGCCGTGGGAATTATATTGACATTTATGCATCTATGGTCATAACTTTAGTGTGAGGAAAACATGATTTTAATATACCTGGGAATATGTTTTAAGTACAGTGTTTCAGTTGTATTCTTGCCTTTAGGGAGGGAATCCTTTCATCATCATCATCTTCTTTCCCCCTTTTGTCCACCTGAATTAATTCAGATTAGGAGATCAACAATTCATGTTAGGAATCTGCTCCGGCAATTAAAAAAAAAAAGTATTTTACTTTGTTTTTGATTTCCCCATCCCTTGTTTCATTTATGTGTCAGTTTCTGTCCCATCATTCTGCACCCATCCAATCACCTGGGATCTCTTTCCCCATCCTGCGACTGACAAACCTTTGTTTCACTTACTTTGTCATGAACATTTCTGGAATAGAATTGCTTAGCATAATCATGACTGTGTTCTGGTATATTAGAGCTTCCCAGTGCAAACCCTTTAGAAACTGACTGGAATGATGTGATTCTGATCAATTTCAGATTGTTGCTAGCAAATACAGGAAAATCCTAATACTCAAGGAACAGTCAGATCTTGCTTAATAATTCTGTGGGGTGGTCTGCTGGAGTGAGCATGGAAATGTGGTATTTGTGTGAGCTCATCATCTAAAAGCTGCTGTTAACACACTTTTACTGGAAATGATTTTTATTGTGCAATGTCGTAGTGAAATGTTGTTCCAAATATACTTCAGATAGTTTTTTATCAGAATGTGACAAGGCTAATTGTCATGGAGCCATAGATGATGATAAATGATGTGATGTTGTAGCTTGTCATGAAGGGTACGTGGATTACTCAATTCAAGAGGCACACTGTGTGTAATATAAAATTGTACATTTGAAATTTTACAACGTAATTAACCTAAATTATACCTGAACTTTGTGACACCAATCATTTGAATTCTAAAGTCTAAAAGAGACATTTGCACTTCTGGCTTATTGTATGAGCGTACTAAGGAGACGGGAATATGCTACTTCAAATACTAGTGTCTCCAGAGTGTGGATTAAATACATAAATAAGAATCCTTTTAAATTTTCCATTTCGTGTTTTCACTTTTCATTCATAAATAGTGGTGTCCCTCAGGGGTCTGTACTGGAACAAGTACCGTTCAACGTACTCAGAAATGATCTGGAAAAAGGGGTAAAGTTGGCAAAATTTGCAGATGATACAAAACTACTCAAGATAGTTAAGTCCCAGGCAGACTGCAAAGAGCTACAAAGGGATCTCTCAAAACTGGGTGACTGGGCAACAAAATGGCAGATGAAATTCAGTGTTGATAAATGCAAAGTAATGCACATTGGAAAACATAATCCCAACTATACATATAAAATGATGGGGTCTAAATTAGCTGTTACCACTCAAGAAAGAGATCTTGGAGTCATTGTGGATAGTTCTCTGAAAACATCCACTCAATGTGCAGCAGCAGTCTAAAAAGCGAACAGAATGTTGGGAATCCTTAGGAAATGGATAGATAATAAGACAGAAAATATCATATTGCCTCTATACAAATCCATGGCATGCTCACATCTTGAATACTGTGTGCAGATGTGTTCACCCCATCTCAAAAAAGATGTATTGGAATTGGAAAAGGTACAGAAAAGGGCAATGATTAGAGGTATGGAATAGCTTCTGTGTGAGGAGAGAGTAATAAGACTGGGACTTTTCAGCTTGGAGAAGAGACGACTAAGGAGGGATATGGTAGAGGTCTATAAAATCATGATTGGTGTGGAGAAAGTAAACAAGGAAGTGTTATTTTCTACTTCTCATAACACAAGAATTAGGGGTCACCAAATGAAATTAATAGGTGGCAGGTTTAAAACGAACAAGAGGAAGTATTTCTTCACACAGCGCACAATCAACCTGTGGAACTCCTTGCCACAGGATGTTGGGAAGACCAAGACTATAACAGGGTTCAAAAAAGAATTAGATAAATTCATGGAGGATAGGTCCATCAATGGCTATTAGCCAGGATGGGCAGGGATGGCGTCCATACCATCTGTTTGTCAGAAGCTTGGAATGGGCGACAGGGGATGGATCACTTGATGATTACTTGTTCATTCCTTCTGGGGCACCTGGCATTGGCCACTGTTGGAAGACAGGATACTGGGCTACATGGACCTTTGGTCTGACCCAGTATGGCCGTTCTTATGTTCTTATTCCTGTCTGTAGTTGTTTGTTTGGTATCACCTGAAGAAAAGACTCAGTCCCAAGGTTCAGCTGTAGTTATTGTTACTAGATCCAGACTGTGTCATGAATAGGAAGATGCAGTGTTAAAAGACTGTTTAACACTGTTGAGGCATTTTTCCTACTGTATTGGAAGATGAAATTCCACCCGTGCTTTTTTCCATTGGCCCTGCACTTCCGATCTAGCAGCAATCATCGATATGTGAGAGAAATAATTAGATTTTTGTTGCATTACTTTATAAGAAGAGTATAGCGACACTAAAAATGTTATGTTAAACCTGTTAGTGTTGTCCATAGCAACAGAATCTTGAGATACCACTGTCCATTGGGAAGTTGAGCAATTTTTGAGCCAAGCCACAGATTTGGCTTCCAGTGTCGCAATAATACTGATACATCCATCCTTGTGATTCAGCACAGTAATTTACACAATCTGGTCGTCTTCCACCTCGCTGTAATAAGGGATCTTCAAGCTGTGACTGCGGCAGTTTGGCATGGGTGTCTTGCTGTCCAGGCATTGCAACGTTAAGTTGTTCTTTTGGGTAATGGTCAGTTTGCGCCTTGGGAGGGCCATGTGGAGAGAGCACCCTTGGTTAGTTATTTAGCAATGGAACTGAGATGAACGAAAAGACATGGAGCATAGTGGGATGGAGGAAAATCTTTCATTTTTAAAAAGATTATTCACTGGATATATATGCATCTTTTGGCATTTTTCTTGTATGTTGTTTGTGTTTTGTCTTGTCTGTTCAAATACTCTTAAGGGCAAGGACCATGTCTCTGCGTGGGACCCTGATAATAATTGGAGCCTTTGGGTGCTATTTCAATAATAAAACCTCATTAGTGCCACTTTTTTCTTGTTTCACTTTTTAAATTTGGAGATGCCTGGGTGTTTGTAATAAAACGAGCGTATTTGTTTTCAATTTGTGTTCCTCCCCGTTTCTGTGGGTGCACATAGTATAAAGTCATGTATTGCAGGATATAGTATACAAAGGAAGTTTCAATGACTTAGAATTCTTCTTAATAGTTATTGCTATGACAGTGATTGTTAAAGATGTACCCTGTATATTTTCATTGACAGATTCCAGTTGCACATTGTTTTGGACCTCCGGGACATTACAAAAGAAAGTTTTGCACCGTGTGCAGAAAGCAGTTAGAGTCCCTTGCATTTCGATGTGAAGGTAATTTAAAACGTGTATATGCACAGTCATGTTGTGTCACATAAAAATAGATATATGTGTATTTCTAAAGATATATAACGTATGCTAATAATAACCCCGAGATAAATTCCTTTCTTTTTACATTTATGAGATAAGCTCGACTTAATTTGTACTCTGGGCTGCTTCACTTGCGTTCTGTCCAATAATCTTTGTGTCTGAACTAACATTGCAAACTACCGAGTACCTTCAAACAGTTACTGTAAAAACAAGGAACAAAAATACATGCAAACATACGTCTCTTCACCAAATGTGGATTCCATCCCCTGATTTTACTCTGGTCCTTGAATTTTTGTTGACGCTGCTGCGGGTCAGTGACAGGCCCAAAAGCAAGCCTCCTCCCCTCGGAGAAATGTGATTCTGAGCTTTCTGTTAGTGTGTAGCACGAACACCTACCCCTGAAGGCTTATGAGATACTGGGACTTAAATAAATACCAACACTTTTGACAGAAAAGCTATTTTAGACTGCTTTTAACATATTCTCACTTTTCAATCACTGTCTGTTGATCAGGGCACCTGAAGGGACATGAAAATAGTATCACTAAAAATAATTCTACTCTAAAAATGTTCCGAAGTAGCTTTCTGTAAAAAGTGCCATAAACCAAATACATGTTGGTCTGAAGGCTTCGTTGGCACTTGTTTGGGGCAACCTGCCTAACTCACACATGGCCATGCCGTTCATGAATGACATGGCCATTTCAAAAATGAAAGTCACTGGGAGTCGGAAAGGCACTGCTGAAAACTTTATCCCTGCTCTAGTGTTCCCCTGTATGCATGGCAGGAGAGCAGAAACTGAAGAGACAATAGGTTGGAGCGTACATGGAGGGAAGAGGGAATAGGGATGAACCTAGAGTCATGTTGGATAGTCTTGGGCCCATTCTGAAGACCCTTGTAAGCAGCATCAGAAAAAAGCTTTATAAAGTTAGTTTTAAAGATTTTTTTTTAATTGGGTGATAAAACTTGTGTTCTCTTTTGATGGTCTTCATATTGACTAGTTCAAAGAAATGGTATTGTTGACAGAGAGGCACTTATAGCTTGAGATGAGTTTTGATTTGATGACTTGCCTTTGTATTTGACAGACCAATTCCTCTACCTTTCTGCAGATACTGGCCTTCAGTTGTAAACTAAACAATCAAAATATGCATTATGAAAGAGCCCTAAACGCTGCTCAGTTCTGACCCTAAGCTCCTGGGCTGAAGTTGAGACATTAACAGTTCTCCCCAGTCATTTCTAAATCTTGCTTTTTAAAGACTGTTTCTCTTATGAAAGTGGCTGTCTCTAAACTGTCCCCTTCCTACTCAACAAATCCGTTCTTTTCAGAATTTGGAGGCAGATCTGCCATCTGCAATGCAGTTTCCAGCTTTTACTCCTGTTAATAATACAGAGCCAACATAGCTTTGCTGCGTGAGCTGCAGATTGTACTTTACCGAGTGTACCAACAACAGAATTGTTGCTATGTTCCAATCAGCTACGCCTGTGTAACTTCACTGAAATCATGATTTGGTTTGCAGAAACTTTATTACTGGTAGTGATGTGTGGATGGAAAGAACTCAGCTTGTCTCTAAGCCCAGGTTGAATTTACAAAACTGTCAACATTTTCCTTATCAAATGTGTATTTTAAAAAAAAAAATTGTTGACAAATAACAACCCTGGAACTGCACAATATCTTTTTTTTACCAAGTAATTTTTGTGGCAGATTTGTAGTCAAGTTAGGAAGTACTTAATCTATTTAGGGATCTCATACTTACTACCTTATTATAGCAGTTTTCAGAAGGATTCTTTTCAGAAAAGAAAAAAAATGTTGCTTCTCCTGAAGATTTAAACATAAGACAGTCTTTGCTTATGTGCAATGGGGAATTACAGCCACAGCCGTGTGTAGAACTACAATTAGCTAGAATGTGCTTGTTGACTTTATTTCTTACTGCTTATAGAGCACTTTTAAAATTAAGTTTGCAGAATGGGTAACTTGATGATTCTTGTAGAAAGCATGACTGTCATTGTTAATGGCTGTCAGCGTGGCTGACCTCCGGTGTCAGACCTGGAATTCTTCTCAGAGTTGTGTGAGGTGGTTGGAACAATGGATTCCTTGAATGCTACAGAAAGAGGTGGTTTGCAGGCTTGGTGGAATCCTGAGATTCATGTTTTTGATTTATTTGAAGAGACAAATGTTGCTGTCTGCCCAGAATGCTCACTTTTAAAGAACAGTTCTGTTTACAACGTAGCTAATTTTCTTTTCTTTTTCTTCTTCTTCCAGATAGGTTCATGGCCATTTGTCCCTGTGTAATTTTACGTTTGGGGTGTGTCTTCCAGCATTTTTATCCGTTTTGTTACATTAACATGTGTGTTTGTTAAGGAGGTCATTACAGAACTTTGTCATTCCAGTTCATTCAAGTTCTGTTGCATTTTGTTGAAGCTGTTAACTTGGAATTCCACTTTGCTGATGGGCCAGTGGCCTCTCCTTTATAGCTGAAGCTTCAGGTCAGCCTTTAGGAAATCAAAATACTACTTTTGGTCCAAAAGGAAAACTTATCCAAATCTTCATAGGCCACAGTAAGGCATCTTCTGGTGGAAATCTAACAGCTGGACATATCTGACTTCTAAAACATCTGGCATAAGGGGAGGCGGTAAACCCCCTCCCACACTCCGGTTTTCTGTCTCTTGACATTAAGATGGAGATTAGGATATAGAGTGCAAAGAGATTTGGACCAGATCTCCTATTTGGGATGGATATGCCCCTTTTCTTCTAGAATATATTCAAGTTGAAATAAGGAATCCAAGTTGGCATCTGACAGCAAAATGGGTCATTTCAGATGTTAGTCCCTGGGTTAAATTCTGCTGCCTGGCTGTTAGAGTCCACTTATGAATCTGGGTTGTCTAATGTAATCTCTCTTTGTGTATTGCACACACGGTATTTGTGTATATTCAGTGGAAAGGTGATCTAGGTTTCCTGGGTAACCTAACAAGCTAGACAGAGGCACATGGAAAAATATTTCCTTTTGGTGCTACAAGAACTCTTTGACGCTCCTAATGAACTCTTCAGGTCCTTTAGACTTGTCATTAAAGGTGCTGGAGTAATGGTCCTGATGATGGATCGCTGGTTCCCAACGAACAGGTACAACATACTGTAGAGGCAGCGGCAGCGCAAACTCCTCCACACTCCATTACCGGTGTGTGTGTGTGTGTGTGTTTACTGTCTGCTCCTAGGCCAGCTAAGGATGTGGCAAGGAGGAAGCCTGTCCCTTATTTAGGCATCAGGTTACAAGCGTGCAGTACAACACTATTAACAGTTCAGTGTCCCAGTACGCTACACTCACCCTGCTTTGGAGGGACACTTTGTTAGACTCCATGTCTGTTCATTCCCTGGGACCTCTACTGAGACCCCGAGTCAGGCAGAGTGGAGGATTTGGAAGATGTGATTTTTGGAATGTCTACAGCTGACTGCCTCCTGTCCCCCTGCGATGTCAGAGTATTTGGGGATACGACTTGGTGGTTGGCTACCGCTCTTCTGTGTTTAGGACTTCATTATTTTTCAGCTATAGAAAATAGAGAAAGTTGCCCTTTCTATTAATGGGGGTCTCCTGAACTCTACTTTCTCATTTTGTTAAAGCAAAATTTCCAGTTTAAGGTGAGAGAGGTGATTATATTAGGGAAGAGGACTGGTTTCTTTGAATCAGACTATAGACATCCTTATAGTAAACTAGCCAATTGGTGTTCTTATCTTTATTGGAAGAAATAATTAAATCACTTAAGCGCAAAATTAGCTTTGCCTTCCTACATACTTGCTTTTTCAGTTAAATAATAGTTGCATCAATTAAATGCAAAGTAAATTGAATAACACGCACCATAATACAGATAAACTTCTTGCATTTTGCCTGTCTTTGCTGAACAGTAAAAGGCATGAGAAATGCTATGTGGGGAGATAGGAAAATAAAACAAACCTGGGTGCTAAAGACATTTCCTGTTTAATTTTTTACTTTCAGTGTGTGAACTACACGTGCATACAGATTGTCTCCCGTTTGCTTGCAGCGATTGTCGTCAGTGCCATCAAGATGGGCATCAGGATCATGTGAGTGTTAACTTGTGTGGCTAGAACAGAGTATGAAGTACAATCAGTTACTTTCAATGTAAAACAAACCTGAATCCTTCCCCCTCCCCCAATAACATCCTCCTCCAGTTTCTGTTGTGTGGCTTAATGTGTGAGTGATAGTGTTTTGGTAGATATGTTCCCTACGTATAAGGAACAGAAAAATACATCCTGTATATTATTGGATTTTGTTGTGAACTGATGCTACTTTTTGTTTTCTAACGTGTTACTGACATTTGTCCAGTGGAGAGCAGTTTGTTGCTGCTGAATTTTAGACATGCTTGGTGGAGCTCAAGTTGAACATACCCAGGGATGTTCAGAAAATCTCGGGCTTTATTTAAAAAACAAAAGACCAATCCGGTGATGGGGAAATGGAAATTCCCTCTTCTCTCCGAGGCTGCTTCTGCCTCGTATTTTTTTTTGCTTCTCATGATGTGAACCATTTTTAGAGAAACTGTCATGCTAACAGTACAAGCCTGTTGGCAGGACGAATATAATTACCATCAAAATACAATGTGCCCTTCATACTGATGGATCATTTCTAAACTGTAGTGTCCTCTTTGTGAAGGGGCAACTGATTGTATAGCTGTTGCACTTCTCCCTGTTGTACTTCAGTTAATTTAGATTTCGTGACCAAAACTTTAAAAGATGGCTGCTGAAAATTAGGGTAATTAAGTGGATATTGAGGCCTGATTTTCAGAAGTGCTGAGCAGCCGGCAGCTTCCATGGGAGTAACAGTTACTGCTGAATGCTGCGCACTTCTGAAAATCAAGCCTAAATGGGGTGTTAGTAGTCCCGTAGCTTTTAGCACCACTTTTAAAAATGTTCGGCCTTCTCTCTCTCGTACTGAAAACTGACGAGGCATTTTGAAAGGGTCTGTTATTGTAGTAGCTATAGGTGCCAAAGATCAAATGCAAAGTCATTTGCTGTGTAGAGCTTTAGTGTAAGAATAATACATTGTGGACTGTTTATAGAACATGAAATAAAAATTAATATTTCTGTCTGCAGTGTTGTAGCCATGTCGGCCTCAGGATATTAGAGACAAGGTGGGGGAGGTGATATCTTTATTGGACCAACATCTGTTGGTGAGAGAGACGAGCTTTCGAGGTTACACAGAGCTCTTCAGGTCTGGGAAATGTACTCAGAGTGTCACAGCTAAGTACAAGGTGGAACAGATGGTTTAGCATAAGTGGTTAACACATATTTCAAGGGACCATTCCAAGTGAAGTGGCCTGTTAACACCCCTGCAGTTAGGGGAAGAAGGAAGATGGGTGGGTGTGTGTGTGTGTGTGTGTGTGTGTGTTAGTGGATACAGATAGTTGTAATAAGTCATAACTATACTGTCTCTTTTCAAGCCATGATATTGAGTGTCTAGCAAAGTTATGAATTTAAGCTCCCAGGCTCATCTTTTGAAAGGACTGTGCAGGTTTCCTCTGAGGATGAGGACTGATAGGGCAGACATAGAGTGATAGTTTGTGAAAAGTGTTCACCCACAGCTGATGTGAGGTTTTTGGCTTTTATCGTTTTCCTGTGGTTTTTCTGCATTTTGAGCTTTTGAGCAATGTGACACACCCCAAGGACACAGAGAGTTATTATAGAAGCCACACATTTCTGAGATCTCTAAACCCATTCCTCAGGCTGGCTGCTGCTTATGTCTCAGACAAAATGTTTAACGTTTGCTCCTCAATTTTTTAAACTGTAAAGTGCTAATTCTAATCTCTCTGAATATTTGGAGAACTAAGATTTGTAATGGGCTGTGAGGATGGAAAGTGCTATGTAAGTGCCAAATATTTTTCCTTAAGTTGATGCATTTATTACAGAACTAAACATTACAATGCTCAGGAAAATGGGACAGTGAGACTTCTTTATCCTAGATTTTCTGTGGGATTTTAATGGCCTGCTGCAAACTTGCTTACTCCATATTTCAATAGGAAAATAATTAAATATTTTATATATTAATTACATTAAATATGCACAACATTCTGTGATGTTTTTCCTAAAGCCTTTAGGGTTAATTGTAAATTAATAATGTAGGGACACGGTTGTATTTGCCATTCGGTATAATACAATCGATTGATCCATTTTCTCAGGACACATACCATCATCACTGGAGGGAGGGAAATCTCTCGTCCAGTGCTCGCTGTGAGGTCTGCAAGAAAACCTGTGGCTCTTCGGAGGTGCTGTCTGGCATGAGGTGTGAGTGGTGTGGCATTCTGGTATGTAAACGGTATTGGGCATGTCTGTGGAAATAAAAGCCTGGTTAATTTGATGTATTTAAAACTGGCCATGAATTTGTTGGACGACACTCGATAAATCAGAGCGAAAGTAAGTTTGGGGTTTGTTTCCTTTTGTTTCCAAAGTGGAGGAATTTTAAAATAAGCGGATAAAATTAAGAAATTCTTAATGCTGTGTCTTAACAGGATTCTTTGGGGTACAAACACTGCATAGTTAACTGATGCTTCTTCATTCAGTACATGGCTGCTATTCCATTTCTTGTCTTGTGGTTCTCACCCATTCAGTATATTACCAGTTAGTCCTTGTATTATTGATGTGAATTGTAAAAAGAAACAAAGATTTATGCTGATTACATAGAATCCCTCCTTCTAACCTGCTCGTGTTCCCTTTCAGCATGGAATGTTGTTGAACCCCGGAGATTGTTCCCAACATTTCTTAACGTGTATTTGATTTTGTGGTCATCCCTTTGTACTGCTAATGTTTGATTCCCATACAACAAAAGTATCCTCTCATCCAGAAGAGAACCAAAACTGGTTACAGACTTAAAACTGATATACAACCTACTGTGTAGAATAGGGGTCACTGCATCCATCATTAGTCACCTAGAGGGTGAAATGCAGAAACAGGGCCTAGAAATAACACGCAAATCGTTAGGGGATAGGAAGTGAAAAACATATTTAATAATTAAAAACAAAAGTATTTTTGAATTGCCACACTAAGTTACAATCGCAAGCTTACCTGTATCTTAAGGATTAACAATTATTCAGTGTTTCAGGTATATTTTATGTGAATTATTTAGATATTCAAAAATACTTTTAAAAAACAAATAACTGAAATAACACAGATCACCATTTTTTCTTTAATTTTTTTTAAAAAATTTTGCGAACTTCTTTTATTGGCTCTGTTCATCAGTTTGTCATATGTATTTACCATTAGCTGATTCCAAGGATAATAGATGGTCTAGAATAAATGTAAGGCAGAAATTTACTCAAGGGTCTGGGCTGATGACATAAGCTTCAGAAAGGACAATTCCTGAATTTGTCAATGGAAGAAAAACCCCAGGAGGAAATCGCAGCCCCGACTTCCTACAGGGTAACCTATTAATTATTACACGAGCGTCCATGTTTTGATCATCTTCCCACTTGTGAATACCACTAGAATGCAAAATCCAATGGTTCCGATGCAAAACAATCTTACTATTGTTCCTTTATGTCAATGTAGGTAAAACTTTAGATTTCAGTAGAATGTTTTTAATATTTTAAAGAGTGTTGTCACATGTTACGAATTCTCACTGTTATGTCAATAAAAATATAGTGAGTTAAAATCAAACCCGATGTAAGTGGCTGCAACTCCATTCATTGCACAGGAGGTGGACCAATTTACAGTAAGTATGAATTGGTTCCAGCACGGTTTGCAAGGCCACTGCCTATTTTGTTACAGTGAGTTAATTTTTTTACAAATTTAATGTCTGAGGTTTGACAAGTGTTTAATGATGTTTCTGTTTATAGGCTCATGCTTCTTGCTACATTATTGTACCACCAGAATGTACTTTTGGAAGATTAAGGAATATGATTCTTCCGCCGAATTGTGTGCGGTTAGTTTCTCGCAATTTCAGCAAAATGCACTGTTTTCGAATATCAGAGAGCCTGCAAACAGAACCAGGTAAAGACTCTGAAAACGGTATCCAACAGAGTGCTGAATATGTGGAGTTACTATGTTTTACATCAATACTGAACTGAATCTTTTAAGGTTGCTGATCATGTAGTACGTCTTTTTTGAGGATGTAATATTAATCTGTTACTAGCTAAGGCTGCTACTTCTGCTACATGATATGGATTCTAAATACAGAGCCTGCTGAATTCTTGTTTCTGCTTGACTATTTGGCATCAGTTCTACTGAGTTTGACAATAAATATGTAGGTACCTTGGTTTTCTTGCTATAACATGTTCTAAAGAAAGCTTAGTTCCAACTTGCACATAACATGATTGTATATTTACAAACATAGGACATTTTTTATGAAGGAGAGGACCAGTTTTTTTGTGAGCAAAATCATGTCTTAGCCTGTAGCTTCTGTTATTCCAGAGCTGAAGCAGCAGTATATTGCTTCTGCATTTATAGGAAAAATAAATCTCCATATACGGGGGGGACGGCAGAGGAGAAAGAAACTGCATTTTAAGCACCTTTTTCAATCAAACATGTCTTCCCCTCCACCTCACATACATTTAGTAACTTAACAGTTGTAGTGTGTATTGTGGAAACTGTAGACTGGAGTCGTCTTTGACTAACTAGGCTACTGATGCTGATGATATAAGCAATCATTGATATAAATGCTACTTTTATTTAGCAGCTCATGTTAGTAAATGTTTTGCTTTCCCTGTTTGTAATTAAACATTTGTCCTTTTAACGTGGAAGGGATTTAATTTGTAGGATAACATTTTGCTGCCACCTAGAGTGCGTATTCCTTATTTACTTTAGTTTTCAGGAGCAAGCCTTTTCTTATGCCATTGCCCTCTTTCTTTTTGTGCTTTACATTTCAAACATCCCAAATGTAAACTTACCTTTTTTACTTAGAAATTATTTTTGTACATTAAGACTGAAAGGGAAGCTAAATACACCAAACTTTGCCAGTCTTGGGAGGTTAAAATGTTAGAAACTTGTTTCCTTCAGAGCTTCCTGACAAGTTGGACGTGAGTTTACTGTTGTGGTGTTGAACATTTGAGTGTATCTTGGTATTTAATAGCTATCACTAGCTAGAGTCATCTGTAATACATGCACAAGCTGTAATATTACCCCAGCGTCTTTGGTAATGGACCTCAATCCTGACCTACACTTTCCCAGCTATCGTAGCCTCTCTTGAGCAGACAAGCTAGTTTTTAGTGGACTTTTATCTATATTACAAAAACCATGCAGTGAAACACAACTGGTAAGGACCATCTAACATAGATTCACTTATGACTTAAAGTGACCTGCAAATGTGTGGTTTTTAATAACTGGTTTTGTACCCTTTGTTGCTTTTTTATGATGTTCATAAAATGCTGGAAAACCGAGTGGTTTTAATGATTTTTTCCTACTTGTTTTTTATTTTAGAAATATCAGGAATGTTTACTCTGGACCTCCCTGGTTTTGCTGGAGGGCTTGTTCAGGGTCTCAGACAATGAATAATGTTAAGTGTTTAATCTTTAACAAAGTCTTCCATTCTCAAAAATGTTAGTCATTAAATTGGAATTAACAAAAACCAGACTTTAAAACTGTCTGATTAAAAATCCTCTAGTTCAGTATTCCGTAATTTTCCTCTTGTGATGTCATCCTTTCAGAATGCCTTCATACATCATTTAATAAAAACCTCACAAGTTTAATATTCATTGTTCTTTATTTGCAGGTCATTTTTAGGTGAAATTTGAACCCAGATCTCTATGGGTGAAAGACTAGTATGTTAACAATTGCCGCTTCTAGTCACTAGGTTTGTTACATTAGGTGACAGACAAAGGTTTTCTCCATTTTAATACTTAGGATTATATATGCTCATTATACAAAGTTGCATTACCCAAATTCAAGTTGCCTGAATACATTTTAACAGGGTACATTTTCATGTCATTAACTCTGCATGTTCAAAGCACAGAAAGCAGAACATCCAACAACCAACAGTGAGGCCCCCACCACAGCACCAGACCTGAAAGCCACTTTCCTTTGGTGGGGGGCAGGTGTTAGTAGTAACTGCACTTGGATATGGACTTTATGGATTATTCCCGCAACTCTCTAATAAGTGAAACCAAACCACAAACTTTGGGGTGTTTGAAATTCACATCCATGTTTTGTAGCTCCAGCCCATGTAGACAAAGGATATAGAGTGAGGCTCTGAAAAGTCTCTTCTGTAGAGATATGACCCAGCTGCCAGGATTCTCTCTCCTGGGTCTCAGCTCCCCAGCCTGAGATTGGTAGTGCTCCGCAGGCTTCAAAAGACTGTTGATCACTAAGGCGACAGTTGTGCAGTTGCGAGAGCAAGCCAATCGCCCTCCCCCGTCTATTTGCGCACCACCTGCTAACCTGAACAGCTGCCTTGGGCCTCACCGGACACTTTCTTCTTGGCTGGTCAGCAAAGGAGCTAGGCTTCTGCCGTTGCTGCTTCAGCTCTTCTCCCCAGACTTTCTGAAGCACGGCAGGAAACCTTTCCAGTAGAGTCAGGCCTGGCTCTCCGGAACGATGGCCATGGGAGAGCTTTTGCCAGAAACACTTTGTTCAGCGCATTGGCCCCTGTTTTTCTCTGAACACTTGGGTGCCTTGATGGTACTTTCCTGTCAGTGTTTGGGGCTCAGTGCATTGTCTTGGCACTCTCCATCCTGCGAGCACAACTCCCAGGTCCGACCCTCCACTGGAGGTAACGTGTTTGGGGAGCAAGTGGAAGTGTCATTTCTGAGTGCCAAGGAGCGGGTTGTCACTCTGTGCTTTTGGACCTTTAACTCACTTTTCAGATCCCTTCTCCCAGGAAGGCTAAGGAATCTGCTTTGGATGCTGGCTTTTGCAGCAACTCAGAACCCCACAGAGCAGAGCACTCTGCATCAACACCAATCATGGAATGGTCCCACGCTCCCTGTCAGCGAGCACCAAGGACTAAAGGGTTTGTGAAAGGATCCCGGGTGCATAGCTGGTCAGGACCTTCCTGACTGAGGAGGCTGGGAGCTGCTTATTTGGTCAAGGAAAAATTCAAGATGGTCACTCTGGGAGCTGCCTTCCCTAGAGAAGGGGGCCTGGCTATTTGCTGTGGCTCTTTCTAAGGCTTGCGTGCATATTATGGGCACTTCTCAAGGACTGGTGGTGTCTGTTTTGTTACAGGAGAGCTATTCTGCTAGTTCCTTGTTTAGTCTTCAGGGAAGGATGGTCATTAAATGCTTGGGAATAGTTGGGGCCACTCTGCCAGGCTGGCAGTGAGGTGTTCCTCCATTTGGTTGGTTGATGATGGAGGACCTCATTCAGTTGGGTGTCAGATCAGCGTGTGTCACCACTGGAGTGTGGGAGTCACCAGAGTTTGTGGTAACTCACCCAAAACCTCAACTCATCCCAGATTGACCATTGGAATGTGTACGAGCCCTGCTACCCAGCTCATGTCCAGCCTTCCCGCCAGGGGTTGGGTGCGATACGTCACCTGTCTGATGGGGGGCAATGGTCAGAATCAGGAGGCAGCAACTCACTCCATGTTGCAAATTCTGGCTCTCCTGGCCAACACCTGTAGCACATCTCCACATTGAGTTTAACCTTTGTGGAGCTGAGACACCAGAGGACGCACAAGCAATACAGGGCCTTTTTACACTGCCCCTGCGTAACAGAGAACCTCTGGGCAAGTCTGACTTGGTGGCTGTCCAGGGACAGTTTGCAATGAGAGATTCCAAACACCACCTCCCTAACTTATGTGGCCATGGCTATCTCCTGCCTAGTCTAGGGAGCTCACACAGTGGAACTCTACACCAAGGGAATTTGGTCTCTCCAGCAATTGTCATTCACCAGTTACTCTGATAAGGTCAGTCATAAATCTGCTAAGGATTGTAAGAGACCTAGTATTCCAAAAGGCGGTCCTGAGTCAAATGAGCAATCTGTGTATTGGGAAAGCCTTCAGGAGGCCAGAGTGGGCATTTTCTCACAAGTTATCATACACCTAGCAAGGAAGGCCCACATGATCACAGTCAGCTTGAGTTGATCTGTGTCGCATCCTTCTGAATGTCTTCTGGATTGGGGCGTGGCAGATCGGATTACCCCTTCCTCCAGTGAGGGATGCTGGAGATGAGTTGCCTCACGTCCGACGTAAACCAGGATCTACCAGTCTTTTATTACTACTACTAAAAGGTACCTTCCTCATTTGCTGACGGAGGATGGTGCTATATGTTTCTCCACTGACACCTCTTGTATCAAGGTCTGTTCAAAGCCCAGGAGTGACGGAATTTCAGTTATCATAACAGCACCATATCGGCTCAGGCAAGAGTGGTTTTCAACGCAGTTTTACAGGGTAAAAACTGGTCCCCTCAGAATGAGTCTCTGGCCTCAGATCATCATTTGAGACCATGGTGTCGCAGTGCATCCCAGCTCCGGAGCCCGCTGCCTGGCCCCTGGTAGGAACATACCTGCCAACGCAGTCTGGTATACAAAGGTAGATATTAAATTGCCTAAACATTACATAAAATCCTGTGCAAGTCCTTGTTGACAGTGCAGAACCTTCCTGCTCATTTCCCTTGGCATGGGTGGCAGGCCCCGCGGCACGGGGTATAGATGCCAGCTCTGCTCCCACTGGACTTGAGGACAGACCGGGGTAGGGGCTGTGGCAGATGGTGGGTACAGGGAACTGTTCCCACCTCTTTTCCTCCAGGGGAGAGTGGTATTTGCAGGCTGTTGTTGGTGACCATGGGGATGCTCGCTCCTTCCATCCCTCTTGTTCCTTTTCAGGCTGGAAAGCTCCTTCTTGAACCACCTGGTTCCTAGGAGTTTTAATTCCTTACGTGAACGGCCACTTCAGCGGTGGTAGTGACTGTATCTGAGTGAGTGGGCTTCAGGCCCTGCAAGCGTTCATTCCAGTCTATACCAAATCTCCGAAGGATAAGCTGGCGCTACAAACTCATTTGCGGCTCCTCTCTAGTGGTGATCAAGTTCCACCTTAATGACCTGTTCTCCCACAGTCTGTTTCCCATGCCTGAATGCCCATCCTGTCTAAATGCTTGAGGTTCAGAGGTCCTTAGGTCTTTAACTAGAGCTGACTAACGCCTTAGAAAGACCATCACGCTTTTACATTTTGCACCGACTTGATAAGCAGCCATGTCTAACGGTTTGCTTTTTGCCTGGCTGTGATGTGGCTGGCCTGTCAAGGCTTGATCACAGCAAAGGATATTTCCATCCCAGACATACCTAAGGCAGGCTCGTTGCGCGCTCGGTGCTTTCACAACGCGGTTTTGCTTGGAGTCCAGAAGGAATTCTGTTTTAGGGTCTCCATGTTTCAGAATTCCTTTCTAAGGGAGAAAGTCTAAGCTCTCTGTTTTGTTTCTTCGGAGTTGTCCTGTATCAAGGCTATACAGTTTATTGAATTTTGGTTCTAATTCATCATGCAGGATGCTACTGTTGTTACTTGTGGTGGTGACGGGCAAATGTCGGATCCCTCCTTTATTAAAAACCATAATCTCCAAAACACCATTGCTGGTAACACTGTTGGCATTGGCCTTCGGTATGGCGATTCATTTTGTATTGATTTTTATAATAAAACCAAACCATGGAAAGTCCAAAAAGGCAAATGACTTGTAGCTTGTATACGTTCCTGAATACTACACGCTTCATGGGATCTCAAAGAGAATTATGTAGTCTTACAATTTGTCAAAGCTGCAAGACCAGACACACCGGTAAAGACATAACACATTTGGGTGGGAGTTACAGTAAGAAAATAGGAAAAGACCTACATAAACATAAATAGGGAAAGGAGAGGAGGAGGAACCAGGGAGGGGTTAAGTAGACTGGAACTTGTTTTTCTACCTGTTGAAACATTACTATAACTCTTCACTGAGAGATCTGTCAAGTCGTTTACTCGCCAGTAGTGAGAATCCCAGTAAATGGTAGTTTTAGAGAAGGGAAAATTAATAACCTGTAATTTTGCTTCTTTGAGGATTTCATTATATCAGCAAAGAGTCCTGTGGCACCTTATAGACTAACAGACGTATAGGAGCATGAGCTTTCATGGGTGAATACAGAAGTGGGTATTCACCCACAAAAGCTCATGCTCCTATACGTCTGTTAGTCTATAAGGTGCCACAGGACTCTTTGCTGCTTTTACAGATCCAGACTAACACGGCTACCCCTTCGATCATTATATCAGGATTCTCACTCACTCACCCACTTTTCCCCAAAGTCTGGAGGTTTATCTTTGTTGAAGCAGAGTTTGGGGGCCTCGGTTTTTTTTTCATCTCTTCTTAAATCAGATTTTTAATCATTTTTTTTTTTTGGCTGACTTTTTTTTTTTTTTTTTTTTTGGCCAATCACGCAGTCAGTAATTGACTGGAGGTTTCCAAGGGCAGCAGTTAAACTGTGTGGAGGCTACATGTCTATCTCTCAGTATGGTGGGCTGGCTTGTATTCCACCTTGCTACTGCTGCTCTTGGAGAACCAAATCTGTCAAGAGGAGTTCCATCTGTCTCGCACTAGAGAAGCGAGACACAGGAGTGGGATTTCAGTCAGGATGATACCTTCAGAGAAGCAAAATCACAGGTCAGTAATTTCCTCTTAATTATTTTGTCAGCATTAAACATTTGACTATATAAACTGTAAATATCATCTAATACATTGGCTCCCAGTTTTAAGTAATAAATCAACTCAAGTTTCCTCTTCTAGAGCTTGACAAACAAAAACTTGTGTTATTTGCAACTATTCAGTTCTGGAATTATCTTTATTAAATCGATACATCTGATCGGACAGCATTTAATACTCTGATTCCTGTTACAATATCGTAGTTTAAAACTTATTATCAGAAAGTCTATTTTTAATTCATAGGCAGACATGACAGGCCGAGAAAGGAATTAAATTTGCAAGTAGTAATATTGAGACAATCCGTGAGAGAATTTGAGCCTATGACCCACACAGTGGTTACATGTTAATCCTTATTGTCAGTGTGTTACACTGCTACATTCATTGGGATATTGTAGTGATTTTAATTTTAAAAAGCTAAGTATTGGAAGAGGAAATGTGGTCGTTGCTGTAGTGTATCCTCCCCCTGTGACTTTTGTTGTCTTTGATACTTCCATTAAATTATTTTTAAGTAAGACTCAACTATTATTTTGTGCAATGGAAAGGTAACCATCTCCTCGAAACTTTTCTTTCCACAGATGAAGATGAGGATGTTGATGGCTTAACACAAGGGTCAGTGAAAGATGCCCAAATTTCAACAGATTCAAGTAAGTAGAATTTTAGTAAGTTGGGAATATTGGCTTAACACAGCCTTTATTATATTAGCTTAACCTGATTTTCCTTATGAAGAATAGTACTCCTAAAGAAAGCTTCACTTTGGTCAGACAATTATGTTCTAATGGTAATTACAGATCTTGTGTATCCTGTATTGGGTCAGCACATCTTTATGTATATGAAGTGATAATGGTTAGGGCCTTCTGTGAAATCCACTCGAGCATTTTAATGAAAAGAGGTGATGGTATTCCTTAGATCATTGCAGTCAACCTTCTCTTGAGGTGTTTTCCACAGGTGAGTACCTCTGGAGTTAATCGCTTTCTGTAAGTAGTATTCTCGGTAAGTCACAGCTAGCCATCTCTCACAATAACAATTGAGAAATCATGTGTTTGTATTTAACGATCCAGTAATGTACATTTCTTTAAAGCAACTAGCCTTTCATCTGTGGCTACTTGGGTTCAAATCTTACCAAGGGCATAAGTAAAATGAAATCTACACTCTGCTCAGGTGAGGCCCAGTAAGAATAAATATAGTGGTGTTTATGTCAGGATTGAAGTCCATTGGCAACTGCGCAGTACTGTTTTTCTACCCATTGACTGCTCTACGTTTGATATTAGCTCTTATTAATCTCATTTTCTTGAATAGTGCAGTCAACCACAGTTTATTAAAACAAAATAAAAGGAAGTGGAATAAATGACTAAAACCAGCAAATCATCACATTTTTCATGATGTGGTTGCATAAATGGCTCTAGTACGAAAAAGTAGATTGAAGAAAAAGTAAAGAAAGAAAGAGCCTTCCATGTCCCCTTCATGTTCTTTCAAGATCTAAGACTATTGAGGAAATTGCCATGTGACAAGGGCCATTCCAGATCAATACTTAGCATAGTTCTGACAATGGGCTCAAATGTGTTAGTATGTCCCCTTCATTTTAAAATAGGGTTTAAACTTCACTTTCTCCTGATGACTGTGAGGAATTTATGACACACCATATACTTCCATATTGTAGGATCAGATTGTGACCAGCTGTGGTTTGTCAAATAAACCTGCACTTTTTCCAGTGGGCGGCTTTTCAAATAGCAATGCGAAATAATCCTTTCTGTGCCAGCACCTGTTTTTACTTCTATATCTTACTGACTGAGGCTGGTATTTCTCCATCAGTGGCTGTCAAAGGGAGTGAGATGTCTATCCTGGTATCTCAGATGGCTTGGTCGACACTGCTAGTCCAGTACGCCTTATTTTATACGGACTGACCAAGAAGATGAAGACACTGCACTCAAAAAGAGATTCTAAACTTCACTTTTCCTTACACACATTTCTCTACAGTGTCAATCAGTAAAACTGAGGAGAACAGGAACACACTGTATATTTTCAAAGACCAATGCAAAGAATCTTTAATCCTGTGGTTTAAATAAAATGGTTGTACTAAAATGAATTGCTTCCCCTTGCTTACATATTAACACAACATAACTGGCTTTCTTTCATGCCCTGATTTTTGATGATTACTGTGTTGGGAGGAGAGAAATTCTAATGCTTCTATTGAAAACAAAGGCATCGTGTTCAGTGGGAAGTATTGATTAATCATTGGCTTAACACTTTCAAATATTAATGTAACTGATACCAGGTATTAAGGCTTTACTCCTCCTACAACTGATCCTGCCCGCTGCTGTATGTAGTCCAAGGGGTCGAGAGAGAGCCACTCATTGACTTTGCAGGAGGGATCTCTACATTTGTTGCATCACTGTTTCAAGTCAAGCTCTTCTTTCAGAGTGCACAGACTTTTACTGTGTAAGGGAACATGATACTAGAACTGTTGGTCACCTTTACAGTTATGGTAGCTAACCTGCTATTTTATCTTCCAAAAAAGATGTAGCTGTTGTTTTTTCTCAGTTTCATACAGGGGCGGCTCCAGGCACCAGCGCACCAAGCGCATGCCTGAGGCGGCAAGCCGCGGGGGGTGGCCTGCCGGTTGCCGTGAGCGCGGCAGTCAGGCTGCCTTCGGCAGCGTGCCTGCGGGAGGTCCGCCGGTTCCGCGGTTTCGGCGGCAATTCGATGGCGGGTTCGCCGAAGGCGCGGGACCGGCGGACCTCCTGCAGGCATGCCGCCGAAGGCTGCCTCACTGCCGTGCTTGGGGTGGCAAAATACATAGAGCCGCCCCTGGTTTCATATACCTTACAGATACAGGTCTGTAAAAAAAAAAAAGCAGTGAAAAATAAAATGCAGGATATTTTTTGGGGCGTGAAAGGATAGATGCCTGGCCAACTTTGGTTTGTAAGACATGCTATTTACGTTAGAGAAGGAACTAACAAGAACCATGATAAAAAGAATACAAAATAAAGAATGGTTTATAAACAAAGTTACATTAGGATCTTTTGTTCATCCATTCTCATAATGTGAGAACAAGGGGACATTAAATGAAATTGATAGGGAGAAAAATTAAAACTGATAGAGGCTTTTTAAGACAATGCATTATTAAACTGTGGAACTTATTGTAACAAGATATTATTGAGGCCAAGAACTTATCAGGAGTGATTAGAATATTTTAGATGGGTAGCACAGATATCCAGAGTTACAATAGTAAATATTTTTTTTAAAATGAGTTTGGGAAGAGATCTGAACCCTCACACTTCAGGACATAAAGTAGGGTCTACGGGCTAGTCTACACAGGAAAGTTATATTGGTATAAGCTAAAGTGTGAATTTTAACCAATATAATGTAATCCCTGTGCCGTTACTCTTATTCCATCATGAAAGCCTTTTATTCTGGTGTGAGGCCCTTTTTTCTGTTTCGCTCATGTCTTTTGGGAAGGGGTTTAAGCTAACCTGAAAAGAGTTGTTCCCACCGAGGGTTGTACTTGTTTAACTATACTGGTAAACTGGAGACGGGATACCCGGGATGGCAATTCCTGTGTTCCTACAGACAAAGCACATTGTTCTTAGCTGAGGCCGTGTTTGAAAATGATGCTGAACATAAAGAATCACAGTCCTAGTCTGGCAAACAAACAAACAAACCGTCTTTAATTTCCCATCTTTGCTAATATTCCTTCATAACTGGAGATTTAGAGGGTGAAAATACTGTTTGGATGATATCGTACAGATGTAACAAACCCCCAGAAGAGAGATCTCCATAATTCTCAAAATAAAAATTATTTACTGTGAGCTCTTCGTTCCTGGATCTGTAGGGATCCCGGAACATAAAGACGCCAGACTCTCTGCCTCTGGTGATGTGCCAGAAATCAAGGCAGGTTGGGGGCTTGTGCAACCTGCATGATCAGGCCCTGATGTTTTTGTTCGTTTAAGGCTTCTGTCGGTCACAGCTGGCAATGAGACCCCCTGCTCCCCAAACAACAGGTAAAAGTCTGGTGATTAGTCTCAAACGTTGTTCATTACAGACTGGGATTTACAGTGCTTCGTGTTAAGCACCTGGCCATTCTTCCCGAGGCTACTGACACTTAAGAGTAACAAACATCTTTTGAAAGCTGCTGTTGTGCAGAGTCGAGCTTCAGCCAGGATGATGGCTTTAGTGCCATGCAAAGCTAAAACCTCCTCCTCTGGCTGGCTTGTCGGTGTGTGACTATTGAAAAGGCATACGGCATTCTGAGCATCACACACTATCTTCCTTGACTGATTGATTTTATTTGAGCTTTAGGGTTTTTATGATTTGGTTTAATGAATTAATAAATTCAGACTGAGTGAAGGTGTGATGGCAATCTATCCTGTTCAGGTTTTTCCTCTGTTTGCAGATTCTCTTTGATCCCCTATGCCAGTCCAGATGCTTAGGTATAATTTGTCCCTGGCAGCAGATGGGGATAGTATGCGAAACGTGTTTGGAGGTGTCACCCCCTGTACACAGGGGACTTGCTCGCTGTGTAAGCTCATTGTTGGTGTTTCCAGCCGGTGGAGAGATCAGTACTTTTGCTGGCAGATGCAGAGGACTGAAGGGAAAAGAAGGGCTTGTGACCTCAGAAATCCCCCTTGCACTGGGACACCCATACTTTCTAGCTGTCCCCAGGGAGCTGCTTACTGCCTGTTGTGGGACTCAGCGTATCTGACACCCACAGGTTTCCCAGGGAGTAACCAAGAGGACAACACTGGGGTAGCTGCACGCCATGAACATAGGCAGCTGTCAAGGAATACTCTCTCCCTCTTCCCTCCCCTCGTTGTGGGGGTGGGGAGGGCTAAATGATCATGTCCAAGAAACAAGGGGTAAAGTGGGCCTTTGCCCCCATCTGTTGCCCATCAAGACTGCAGCCTGTTTGTCCAGTGGTCCCCAACCTCCAGGTCATGGGGTAGGTCATTGTAATGTGAGAGTGGACATGCCCAGATCAGTTGGCTCCACACTCTGCTTGGGCAAGTGCTGAATCTGCTGCCAGAGAAACGGAGGTGTTTACTGAGGATCTGCGAGTGGGCACTGCACTTTCCAGAGTGGCAAAGGAGAGACTAGATCTCCAAGGTGAAGTTTCACTCTGCGCCACAGACAAGTCAGGTCTTTTTCGAAGAAGACATTTGAGCTCATTACAGTGCTTCACAGGGAGTCCTGGGCGCAGCTTATTCCTGCTCAGATGACTTCAAAGCCTATGATCCGTGTCCCCTGAAGCTAGAGGTGAACAGAGGAAAGCGGATCAGATGCTGCTCTGGCTGGAATCTGCAGTGTTGCTCATGGCAGATGGGTGAAAAAGTTCCATGAGCAGCTGTTAAGGCCCAGGGCGAGCATGCAGCCCCCACGTGAAAGGCTGGCAGCTCTCACAGCCTTGTGGTCCAAAAATCCCTTAGAGCTGGAGTTTCGGCCTGTCTCATTGGGTGAGACCCAGTAGCGATGAAACGGCCAGTGATATAGTCAGAGAACCAGGATGACATGGGGAAAGAGGTTGGTTTTTCAAAGGAACAACAGCATAAAATTCACATGATTCTTGTCAGTTTCATAGCTGCCCAACTGGGTTTTGAATGGCAGCAATGAAACTGACCAGAGTCTTGCTAATTTCTCCTTGCTGCTGCTT